TAGCAGGGTCCAGAAAAAAGACCTGACATAATTCAGGGGCCCGACAGAGTTGTGTGAAGCCAGACTTCTACACTTTATCTTTGGATAAATAAGGTTCAGCCAAGAGAAGGATTTGAAATAAATACATAAACAGATAAACATCATCTGTCAATCCTCTACAGCAAGAAATGACACATTAAAAATATCTAATAGAAGAAAGAGCATTTCTTTTGTATATTCAGCCAGAAACATCTAGAAACATGGAGGCTTTCTACAGCTGCTCAACATTTTCTTTACTCGATACGTTTCATTATTGTATTTGCAAATACAGGGGCTTTTATCACCAATTACCTGAATCTCTGCAATTTAGAAATCATCTGTAGTTTTGGTAGACACTGCATTGTAGGATGATACCAAAATCCTTCTAACCTTGTCAAATACTGATCCACTCTGTAGCAGAGTATACCTAAAGATTTACTCAGCTGCCTTTCAAGTTTCAAAGCAAGATTTAGAATGAATTGCTCTCAGGCCTTTCAGACACACACCTCCAATTCCATAGTTTCCTCTGCGTGTGCTAATGTGGGACAGGGGAGATAAAAGGCAGCATAAAGGGACAGACACGTGTAAGTTGAAAAGGAAGAAACTACCGGGGGACCTTTTAAATGCCAAAGGAAATACTATGTATGCCAGGCAGATTCTGTCAAATGTGAATTAATTCATAATTGTGAATTCTCTCCCAGTTTTAGATACAGGTTAGAAGGAAAACGAATCTTTATGCTTCCATTTTAATTCTTTGGCCCAGGATGGTACAAAAACATCAGCATAACCTGTGCAGTGGGACTCCCTTCAGGAGTCTTAAGTCTCACCATTTTTCCTCCTTGTTGACAGTCCCAGCAATTAAAATTTAGTGGACTAAATGAACCAATTAAAAGGTTGCAGGAGTGTATGGTAATTCTTAATTTTGAAAGATGTAAAAGGTATTACAGAGTCATGGAATGATAATGAGTGTTTTCCACAGCGAGGCTTGTATCACACAATAAATAATGGTGCCCATTTCTCTACAGGTTACAAACTGAAGCTCACAGAACAGTGGTAGCCAAGGTGCTGCTCTTCAGATATTTTGGACTACAACTCCATGCTGGCTTGTCATAGAAGAAGCATATCAATTATATTTGATGATGCTTGTGATTTCAGGAAACCTCCAATGATATCAGGAAAATAATTTTAGGATACAAAATTCCCAATTTATGAGAGGCCCACTTATACTAGATGCAAAACCCTTCATGCACCCTCAAGTATAAGTGAAAGAAAACAAATAAAGAAACTCCTGCAAACCCTAACCTTTGTTCACATTGCAAAAGCAGACGGATGCAAATGCCTCATAACAGTCCTCTATTTTTCATGACTTGATTTTGCAAAAATCTTAAAATAAGTCACTTTTTTCTTTTTCTTTAAAAAAAGTACAGTGGTACCTCAGGTTAAGAACTCATTTCATTCTGGAGGTCCGTTCTTAACCTGAAACTGTTCTTAACCTTTAGCTAATGGGGCCTCCCACTGCCGCCACACCGCCACCGTGTGATTTCTGTTCTCATCCTGAAACAAAGTTCTTAACCCAAGGTACTATTTCTGGGTTAGCGGAGTCTGTAACCTGAAGCGTCTGTAACCCGAGGTACCACTGTAACCAAAAGTGACTTACAGAGAAAGAACAAATATTAAAACCAAAGTAAAACTAAGACACAGTAAAATATAAAAACAAATTCAGATTTACAATTAGGCAGGACTCAAGACATCCCATCCACTGAAGCAGGCCACAGAAGATTAAAGGTTGGTGAAAAAGAAATGTTTTTGCCTGGCCCCTAAAGGTAGATAATGAGGTTGCCAGGTATGCCTCCCTGGGAAGAGTGCTCCATAAGTGAAGAGCCATCACTAAGGTGGTGTTTACTCAGGTCAACGCCCTAAGCAACTGCCTGAAGGAGGAGGATGACCACATGGTTCATGTGGAGAGTGGTGGTCCTGGAGGTATTGGGATCTTGAGCAGCATAAGGCTTTAAAGGTCAAAACCAACACCTTGAATTGAGCATTGAAATTCACTGGAAGCCGGTGCACTCACGCCAGAATTAGTATTAATGTTTAGACTGCCTTGTTTCTGGTCAACAATCTGGCGGACAATTTCTGTACCAGCTGCAGTTTCCAAACCATCTTCAAAGGTAGCTCCACATATGCCACATTGAAGTAATCTAACCTAGAGGTTACCAGAGCATAGACAACAAAAGCTAAAATGACTGCATACATATATAACATCCCTGTCAAGTTGCTACTATTCCTATTTTACAGATACGGGTTTTATTGTTATTTCTTTGCCTATATAGCTTGATCTGCAGCCCTTGGTAAGTGATAATTCTCTCCATTATGAAAAGCTTCAGCTGCTCATTTCTGCAGATCATGCTGCAATGTTACAGGCACAAAAGCAAGTCAGGCATGCTTTTTCTTCTTCCTCCTGAACAGTTGGCAGTCCTATTACTGAATGGGAAACCAAGATGGAGAGACAGTTACTAAGGCCATACAACGAACCCTTGGAAAGGGAGAGGGGAAGACTTTCTGTCTATCAGACAAACATAAATGACTGTTGTCAAGTGAGTGGGTGCAGGCAGGTGCTTATGGTGCCTGGTAAAGTCTCCCACTCAGTGGCGTAGCGTGGGTTGTCAGCACCCGGGGCAAGGCAAGTAATTTGCGCCCCCTAACCCGTGGATTTAGCCTCGAAGCGCGTGCGCCCCCAGATGTTGCGCCCGGTGCGGCCGGCCCCCCCTGCACCCCCCACGCTACGCCACTGCTCCCACTCCAACCCAGGCCTGCAAGTATTAGGGCTACATGAAAGGAAAGAAGCAGAGGGTCAAACTGGTAGAAGTCATGGGTGACTTCATGTTACCTAGCTACTTGTATATACATTTTGAATGAATCACTTCACATGTTTGAGGATTACTAGTAAAACCCTTAAACTTTTTACGCGTAAAAGTTCTCTCATATATCTTGTGAATATTTGGGGATTTGTATTAAGTTCTCTTGAACAGGGCCCGCACCCGTTTTTTAAATAGGTAATATGAGTTAGCTGATAGTGACATTTTCTTCAGGTGACCTAATGCAATGGTACTTTTGGGAGGGTGAGAGAATAAACAAAGATAAGCAAAATAAACAAAAGTGTATTTTGCATATACTGAAATAGAAAACCATGCCCTGCACTGAAGCACTGCAACACCTTTTGGTTCCAGGAAGCAATGCTATTTTAAGCAAATAGCAATAATGCAAGCCAAACTTCATATATCGACCAGAAACCTTCTTTGAAGGTCACTATGCAGCAAATTAAGCATTTTAAAAACATATCTATATAACTGCTTCATTACTTCTTCATATACAAAAGCATAGTCTGAAACTAATGGTATCCCTGCCCCCAATCCATAAAAGACCACATAGGAACATCATAAATTTGTTGGTGATAGAATGTGGTACCTATTTTATCTGAAAAATCACAGATTCCCCCCTCCCCACCTTATCTTTACTATTTAGAGGAATAGATTCAGTTCAGCACTGCAAAATAGTATCTTAAGTAAAGGCTGGGCTTTGCTCTTCATTTCATGTGCAAACAATGACACGAAGAGGAAGGTGATCTTTAACTTACAATAGAACATTTGCACATTAATTCAAATCCTCTGACACCCTAAGTGCCCTATCCTAAACATTCCTTTGAAAGCAGTGGAACTTGTTTACAAGTTACCCTGATGAGCAGAGCATAGGGGATTCAAAAAGGTAACATGTAAGTAATACATAATTTTACTGGGAAGTGGGAGCAAATACACTGAACAGCCAGTCTTCTTGTTGCCTGCTGGGGGTGTGTGGATCTTGTCCTTTTTGCAGGCTGAAGCATCCCTGGAGAACCAAAACCATGGCCTGGCCTAGCTTGTAGCTCTTCTCCACAGCAAGGGGGGGGGGGGTACTTATTAAATGCCTTGATGCTGGCAGGGAACCCAACCACCTGCTGTGCTCCCGGCCTGCAAGGGACACCTGCAGACTCCGCAGGAGGGGGGGCTTCTGCTGGAGCACAAAGTGTGGCGAGGGAAAGTGTGGTCAGGACCGCTCCAGGGCACCGGTTTCCGTGTCTGACATGACACCCCCCCCCGTCGCCACAACTTCCCTCCCCTGGGAATCAGCCTGGGCCCCCGCAGGACCGTCCCATGGGAGCAGGAAGGGGGGGGGGAACAAGCCTCACATCCTTATTCTGAAACTGAGAAGAATCTCCCAGAGGTCCAGGCACCCCCTCTTACTGGGAAGTGGGAGCAAGGCTTCGCTCTCCTCGTCCAACGAAGAGCCCGAGAGAAGCCGAAGCCGCGTCGCCTCGCTCCACCTGTTCAATCCGGATTCAAAAGCAGGAAGGCGAACCCGAGGACGAGGCCCCCGCTGCCATCTGCCGCAACGTAGCGCCACTCCCCCCCCCCCCGCTCGCCGAGGAGGCTCCTCGGGGCGCCAAGCCCTCTCGGGTCCCCGTCCCCCCCGCCAGAGGGAGAGGGGCTCCGGGAGGAGGAGGAGGAGGAGGGAAGCCCGGGACCCGCCCGGGGGTCTCTCCGCCCGCGCACCCACCTTCCGCCGCTTCGCGCTCCTTGCCGCAGGCGACGCAGTTCGGCCGGCCGAGAAGCAGCAGCGGAGGCAGGACGGACTTGCGGCGGCCCAGGGCCTCGCTCCTTCCTTCTCTCGGCGCGTCTGCACGGCTGCCTCGCCCGTCGCGCCTCTGCGCCGCTTGGTCCCCGGCAACGCGGCTCCCTCTCGCTCGCCCGTTCTCTTCGAAAAGGGGCGGCGGCAGCAGCAGCAGCCGGGCAGCCGCGTCCGCCTCCTCCGGCGGCCAAGTCCCGAGCGGGGCTCCTCGCCGCCCGCCCGCCCGCCCTCCTTCCTCCGCTCTCTGCCGGGCCCCGCTCTCTTCCCGCGAAGGGGCGCCGCCGGCTCGGGCCCCTCCGCCCGCCCGCCCGCCCGCCCGCCTTCCTCCGCCTCCCCTCGGCCCCTTCCCTCCTTTGCGCCCCGGGCCTGGCGGCTCCCCCTCCTCTCTCTCGGCAGCCCCCCTGGTCGCGCCGCCAGAGGCCGGCGGGCTCCCTTCAGCGGAGGTTTCGCCTTCCTTCCAGGCCGCACATCCCTGAAGCCCCGCGCGAGGAGGAGAAGCGGGAGGACTCGGCGCTCGCCCAGGGACTTCCGCGGACTTCCGTCCTGGGCCGCCTGGAAAAGGCCTGAGGCGGCGGCAGGTGAGGCCAGAGGAGCGACTTGGCCCAGGACTGCCCGGTCCGGCCGAGCGGGGATTCGAACCCTGCTCTCTCGGGCGCTCTACCCACTGCACCGCAGGGCTGTCCAGACAGACGGACGGAACTATCCTCCACAGGCGGCCATTGGGCGCTCAGGCTCCACAGAGGAACGTCGGAAGCTGCCTTAGAGCAGAGTGGGGAGGTGAGGTTGCAGAGCGTTTTCCCAAGTTCTACCTAGAGCTCTGCCCCTTCCCTCACTGGGGTTCAGGCAGGGAGGTGTGGGGGGCACGGTCTTCTGTAATCATGGACCTAGGGGCTGCTCCAGCCCCCAGAGCGGGCCCACGGATGCCAGGCCCCCACGGTGTGCCGTTTTGTCCCCCCCCTCAGGTGGAACGCACCCCCACACCTGCCTTCCTACGCCCCTGTGTGTGCTTTTTGCATAAACAGCCAGTTGTGTGTGAACTTCTAGCCCAGCGTTTCTCCTTGTATCTTTTCTCAGCCATTATCCCAACTGGATGAACTGAACTCCTTAAAATGCTGCTACAGCAATCGTGGAAGATGGACACTTCTCTAACGCCATCTCAAGAAGCCCTGCTCCCACTTTCAGAAGACAGACGTCTGGGCTCACTGAAGTTATGGAGGTGTATAACAATTATACATATGTATACGTATTGAGCTCTGGGCTGGAAAGCAGGAAGCATTGTTGCTCTGGCAGATCCCAATATGGATCTGTGGCAGGAATAGGTTTTTGCTCCATGTGCAGGGTCCTGCTGGGAAGTGTAAGCTTAGTGCTCCACAGGGAATGATATTGGGGCGGGGAGCTTGACATTTTTGAAAGAAGTAGACCTTTTAAAGGGAATTGCACAAAAACAGACCTGAAGTTTATTTGTTAAATGGGCTGTTCTTCTGTGTGAAATATTTTTATCTGCAGCACTTGGGTTTGTGGGCATAGCCAGGATTTGGGGGGGGGGCAGAACCTCAGTTAGTTAAGTACTTTTTTTGTAACTCTCCATTTGCATAGTTTCACTTCTCTAGTTCTAGAGGGGAGTTTATGGCCCCTTCTAATGTGTGCATATATGTGAGAAACATTACAGTGAAATGCAAAATCTACATGGATCTTAAAGGACAATTCCAATTATCAATTGCTTGTGGATCTTTTACACACCAAAAAGAAGGGGAGATATATTTTCCGCAGCATTGCAAGGAGCAATAAAATACCATCAGTTTTGATGGCTCACAAAGATGGGGCTGAGGAACAAGAAGATGAAGCATCATATAGGAGTGGTATTAAAGCGACTAGAGCTGGACAAATTCAAAGGGCTGCCCAACTAAGGGCCAAATGACTTATCTCTTCGGTAAGTGCAGTTTGTACACACTATCAGCACTGGGATTGGAGGGCACATCTGGATCAGGACACCAGCATTGAGTAGGTGGGTTTTAACTCTTCACCCTTGCTGTGGGCTCAATCCAGGTTAGAGACCTTGAACCTGCAGTTTGCATTGGAAAAATAATACCCATTTGCTTCAGTGGGAGCTTCAGAACACACACACACACACACACCCCGCATCTAAATTGCAGGAAGAGGGTCCTTTATCTAGACTGAGCAGGGGACAAAGAGTTAAAGTCCCCCACACTGGAATCCTGATCCAAACTGCTCCTCCTCATGCCACACTTGACAATTTGTGTCAAGCAAACCAAACCAAAACTGTCACTCAAAAGATGCAGTTTGGTGGTTTACATAATGTCTTGTTTGGCCCTGACTGTAGGGAAAAGGTATGAGGACTAAGGAAAACCACTGTTTGCTGCTCACTGGTGGATAATTGCCAAATTCTGCTCTGGGTTAATTTTGTCCCCCTTTAGGCCTCATGGCAGAAGAGTACTCCTTTGCTTTCATCTTTACTCTTGCATACTTTCCCTACCTGTGGTGGTTTTCGCTTTCCCATGATGTTGTGAGGAATGGAACTTTATTTTCACAGAGCAGTATGCCAGCTGTTTTCCAGCCTATAGTTCAGCTGCACAATTTTCTGGCATAGTGCAACAAACCATAGAAAATATACTCTTCCCCCTTCCCAAAGAAGCTTTGGCTAAGTTGACTAAGTGATAAAGAGTTAATGGGTAAAAACACAGTCTTCAGCCTGATTCTGGCAGTCCATGATCTGCTCCTAAACTACTAAGGCCACATGCTGCCTCCCCTTTAGGGAGGCCTGTGGTGGCGGCAACTGCAAATACAAGCTATGCCTTGGTATGGAGAGAGGGCCAGTGGATAGTCAAATGACCCATCAGTGGAGTTACTGTTTAAAACTCTTTGAAAAGAGTTACATTAAAATTTGCTAATTTCTTGTTTGCTCGTGCACAAACAAGCCTTCCAGCCCCACAAACAGCTTGCTTCATCCAGGCAAGCAAGAGACATGACTTCAGTTCAAGACAGTGACAGATCCTCGCATTTTGTCCTAGGGAGCAGAAGTCTGCCCCTTCTGCAGTTTGGGGCAGCAGAGACACTGGTTGCGATCTTTGGACTGTAGCTGTTGAGGTATTTTGGGATGGACCTTTGCCCTTGAGGATGCTATATTTGTGGAGTGTCAAAAGAGATACCAGGATAGGGATGGAGGCAGCCAAGAACCTGGGAGAGGCAGCAGAAGAAAGTGCATGCTAGAGATGGACTCCTTTCTGCCGTTTACTTCAACACATACAATCACATCCCTCCCCTTGCACAGAAAGCCACCTAGGTCTGGGCCACATTCCCTTCCTTCTCCGAGTTCTCCATTGGATACCGCAAAGGTTAAGTTTTGAGGTGAAACCAGCAACACAAGGAGTATCAGATCTGAAATGGAAAAATGGAGGGACAGAGACCTAAAAAATGGGCAACATGGTCCTACCCACCACGAAAGAGCAGCCCCTTTGTACAGGTAGGATATTTGCTGGGGGTGGACAGAGTGTGGCTTCTCCAATAGTTGGGAGAGTAAGCACCTGCATTACAGCCAGCAATCTCCAGGCACTCAAGCAAAAGGTAACAGGAGATGAATGGAAAGATGGACGAGAGAAACCAGGTAGGAGCTCCAGGCATTGTGTCAAGCTTCTCCAGCCAAAGGAGCCTCCCTTGTGTTGGTTGCCTGCTTTGCCCATTGTTGGGCTTCACCTGCCCCACCAATGTTGCCACTAATGGAAACATGGGCATTGGATAGGGCCTAAACCTGGAAGCTTTTGGACTGAGAATGCTTTGTTCCCTGTCATTTACCTTTAACTAGTTTTATAAGTTAGGAAGGAACAAAAGCATCTGATTATTATTATTATTAATAATAATTATTATTTAGCACATTGTTTTTTATTAATAGTAGCCATGTAAGATTGTCTTCCATAAACATGGTTTTAACAATGAGTCTGTAAGTGACCGTGGAGGCCAATTCTGGATCCACACGTCCTTCCACAGTGGGGACATTGGTTCCCAGGTGGGAGTTGATCACGGTGGATTTGCCAAGCATGCCTTCCTCTTAGCATGTTTCTCCCTTGCGTTCTGAGTTTGACTGTCTTTATAGTCCATGACACCTTTGGTAAAGCTGTTCTCCAACTGGAGCACTCGCAGGCCAGTGTTTCCCAGTTGTCGGTGTTTATACTACATTTTTTTAGATTTGCCTTGAGACAGTCTTTAAACCTCTTTTGTTGACCACCAGCATTACACTTTCCATTTTTAAGTTCGGAATAGAGTAGTTACTTAGGAAGACAATCATCAGGCATCCGCACAACATGACCAGTCCAACGAAGTTGATGTTGAAGAATCATTGCTTCAACACTGGTGATCTTTGCTTCATCCAGTATACTGTCTGGATCCAGTTCTATCTTCCCAAGTGATGTGTAAGAATTTTCAGAGACACCGTTGATGGAATCTTTCAAGAAGTTGGAGATGGCGTTTGTAAGTGGTCCATGTTTCACAAGCATACAGTAAGGTTGGTAGTACAATAGTTTTGTAAACAAGCATTTTGGTTTCCCTGCCAATGTCCTCAAACACTCTGTGCTTCAATCGGGAGAAAGCCGCACTCGCAGAGCTCAGGTGATGCTGGATTTTGGCATCAATGTTGACCCTTGTAGAAAGATAACTGCCTAGGTAGGAGAAGTGATCAACATTTTGCAGTGTTACACCATTGAGTTGGATTTGTGACACTGCAGAGGGGTTATTTTGTACTTGTTTGGTGCAGCACTTTGGTTTTTTGGATGTTGAGCAACAAGCCAAGCTTTTCGTAAGCTTCTGTGAATATAGGATGGTTTGGAGGTCATCCGCTGAGCATGCACACACTACATTGTCTACCAAACCAATAACCCTCCTATCACAAACATATTTAAAAGGACATGGAATGTTAATCAGCCCAAGGCACCTAAAGATATATAATGAAAGCATATGATACATTGAATTGTATATGCAAATGAAAAGTTTTATATTTTCTGATGGTACTTGTGTGTCCATTCTTGAGGAAAATCAGCCAGGAAATTTTACATTCACTCAATAAAACTTACCTATGGACCATGCTTTTGGTGATTTCTTGCTTTGGAGTGGTATATTAAGAAATAGGAGTAGCAAGTATGACTTTATTGTAGCACCAACTATAAACAGAGCATTCTTATGTCACACTTGCCAATTCCTGCTCTTGTTTTCTGGAATAATAATATCCAAATTTCCATCTCTGCCATATTAAGCAGTTGGTACCTTACCTTTCTCGCCCTGATCTGGCCACAGTGATCCATGTGAGGGTCACCTCCAGGCTTAATTATTGTAACTTGCTCTATGCAGGGCTGGCCTTGAATCTGACCCAGAAATTCCAGATTGCCGCAGTGAGGCTCTTTTGGGGTCCTTGCCGCGGGATCACATTAATCCAGTGCTTTACCAACTGCACTGGCTCCCGGTGGAGTACAGGGTCAGGTTTAAGGTGCTGGTTTTGACCTTTAAAGCCCCACAGAGGACCTTAAGGTCCACAAATGACAACATTTTGGAGGTCCCAAGTCGCAAGGTGGTTAGATTAGTCTCAACTAGGGCCAGGACCTTTTCAGTAGTGGCCACGACTTGGTGGAATGCTCTGTCACAAGAGACTAGGGCCCTGTGGGACTTGACATCTTTCCACAGGGCCTGCAAGACACAGCTGTTCCACCTGGCCTTTGGTTTGGACTCAGTCTGACGCTTATGTTTCCCTCCCCTTATGGTTTTGATCTATGGGCTATTTTTAAAATGAGATTGCATTTTAACCTGTATTTTAAATTGGGGGTTTCCCCCCCTATTATGTTTTTACTGTAATTTTTCTGGTGCCCGGCTCTGGTATAAATAAAATTTATTACTATAATTAAAAGCAATGAAACAGCAGGTTCTTACTAACGTAAGTATGTGTTTGGATTTAAATACCTTATCTACTCCTTGAGACAGCTCATGAAGCTTGCACAAAAACAGCTTTCACAAGGGTGTGTGTTGTTTAGTAATTACTAATAGTGATCAGACTCTAGTAGGCATAATAAGCTCTACTCAATAGGGTTGTGCTTCTTATCATAATTGGACTTTGTACTTGCTGTCACAGAGCTGAGGCAAAACAATTAAAGATAAATGTCACTGGAGGTTCAAGACTGAATACAAATTGTTCTTTCTGGCTTAGGTTTAATAGCTGATGTCCTTGTTTTACCCAGTTTGACCCCTGCTTGGTATAAATCAATGGACCACTTTCCTGCTGTGCATTTTTACAAGGTGTAAATATAACGCTACACAAGCAAAACATACAACTTTACAGGTCAACTCCTACTTTCTCTCCAGTTCTCTACACTGTTTTCTAATCAACGCATGTCTCTTGTTACATTCGTCCTTAGAAAACAACAGCCTTATTTTAAGATGCTGAGGCACATGCCCAAGGCCTTGAAAACATTTATGTCTGTCATTCCGTTAGACTACAAAGGCTGTTTGAAAATTTAGCCAGGAAACCTACAGCTGCAATCAGTAGCCTACTTTCTCTGGAGCAGAGCCACTTACTTTGATGGGACTTCTTCAGAAAGAATTTCATGTGGACTATAACAAAAACTGCTTTTAACACTCTTGCTTATTCTAGGAATAAATATAAAGAAGATTCTCGTCATCTCTGGACTTTAACTGGCAAGCTCTGATTTCTGTGTTAATTAC